CTAGATTAATATAGGTTTATTGTAATAAAGTTTCTACTATGACATTATATTAATAAAAAAAAAAAAAAAAAAAAAGAATTGATTGATTGTTAGTTGGAGTGATGTTGTTTGTATTTGACTGACTTTGTATTCGGCTAGGGAGCCAAATTAGCTTGTGTATGTCTTCAGTGAGTTCGTGGTAGAATTGCTGGGCGAAATGTTTAGCGTTTGATATTATAGAAAAGGTGGTAGTCTTTCTGAGTGGATAACTCCAATTGGTAGGCCCTTTACAAAATGGCTCCGTATGAACTTATCAATAAAAGTATGCTGGATGTTAATTGTTAAGTTAAATTTGTTAGTAAATTTGTTTAATAAGTTAATTAATATATCTTTAATTTTCTCTTCGTTTTTATCACAGTTTAACCAATGAGTGTCATCCTTAGATAAGTAGCCACATCTTCGGCATTCTGGTGATTGGTATTTAAGAGGGTGGCGGCTATATAAGTTTTGATAGTTGGGAAGTTTCTGCATGATTAGTTTGATTTTGAAGTTTTTGATTTTGGATACTTTGGGGTCTGTAGAATGACTTGTAGGTTTATCGTTTACTTGTAGATAATTAAATATAAGGTTCCAATTAATGTTGTAGTGTTTAGTCCATTTCTGGACTCTGTGTTGGGATATAAATTTATTAATGTTAATTGCTATATTGGTTTGTTTAATTATGTTAATAAAGGTTGGAGTGTTGTAATAAAGAGCTTGGTAGTAAATAGTATTTAATTGGTTTGTATCTAGATCTACTTGAAGTATTTGTAATTGTTGATTAGGTTTTTTTGAAAATTTCTTTTTTGTGAGTGTTAATGATAAGTATTTGGAGATTGTAGCTGCTCTGATACTAAGTAAGAGTTTGCCTAAAGGTTGACGAATAAGTTGTTCGTAAGTTGTAGGTGCTGTGTCAGTTAATCTGTTGTTTAACTTAATTAACGTTGATGAGTTAGTTGAAATTTTTAGGTGGGCATTTGTTGGTGCGATTGTAATGAGTATGAAGAGTGCTGTATATGCAATGTTTTCTATACTTGGCTAGTATTTGTTTTGGATTTCCAGTTGTGTATTTGTATTGGTTAATTCTATAGTGCAGATAGGCACACTATATTGCATTTGTTTGATGGAAAATATTACTAGATTTGCGGTGACTTCCTTTTGTAATGGGTAATTGAGATAATGATTCTATATAATCTTTTGGTTTTGTCTAAATGCTGATGCTAGTTGTTTGTTAGCTGATGGTTACGTGGGATAAAGCAGGGTTGGAGTTGGGGTTTTGGTGATACTTGAAGTTTCTAGTTGAAGTTACTTATAAGTTCATGCTATCGTTTTTTAGGAGTCGACCTGGATGGCAAATAACAATATTGATGGTTTCCAGAAGGAGCAATAAGTATTTTGTGTGGTTGGGTCATGGAGAGTGCATTGTTGGCAGCTTTTAAACGTATTAGTAGTGTGATCAAGAATCCAATGTCTGATTTTGTAGTGATTCTTTTTGATAGAAGTTATTTTTCCAAATATTAGATTAGTAGTGATAATCCATTTGTTCTTTCTAGATTGTTGTCTCCATATATAGAGATTGGAGTAAGTTAAGTTATTTAAATTATTAATCGCAGTATGTATCAATTAGATTAGTTGAGAGAACTATTTTGGTGTTTTACCCTGAGAGATTTTGCTGATATTGTGGTAAAATTGTGTCTAGTTGATTACTTCAGTATTATTGAAATTGAGAAATTGTTCGATGTCATGGATACGGTGGGTATTTAATTGGTGTTTAATTTTTGTTGCGTTTTTTAATTTCCGCACGAATAGATTGATGGTGTGCCCTTTAGATTTATGTATCCTCGGCCACGAGTTTAGTCTCCTCTGCCACTGTATATTTGTATCGTTGGCATTAAGAATTAATTTTGCTGTGAAGCTTTTTGATTGTTTATATGGAGGAGCCCACAGCAAAAGGATGCTTCGGGACAACCAATTAAAATTTGAGATTTTATAGGGATAGCTAACTAACAAATTAATATTTTTATAAAAAACAGCTTTTAAGTTAAATCTATTAATAAAAAAGTATATAATTTCACTTAATTATTTTGATACTATTATATAGATAATAATCATATACTAATTTTGGTAATGATTTTCTCAAATCATGTGAATGTCCTGAAGCATCCTTTTGCTATGGGTTCCCTCATATATAAATATGAGATTAGATGTGAGTATTGATTGATTAGAGAATGAGTCGTCTTGGAGTTGTTGTAATTGGATTTTAGTCGAGATCAGGCCATTTGATGAGTTTAGGTGTTTTCAAGAATAGATAAGTGTTGTGCTTGTTGTAGTTGGTTTGTATCTATGAAGCCATAAGTTGATGGTAGGTGTAAGATCGAGTTAGGTATACTGCGAGCTATTTTGCTTTGGCCTTGATTATCTTAGTGCTTAGGCAGTTTAGAAAATCACAGTCTGTCTTTGGTAGATGTAGATTATATAGGCAATAGTAGAGTCTCGCTATTAGAACAGTATTGATTACATAGATTGCTTGTTTCTCAGTTATTTTTGAAAGCAGAGCTTGTTAATTTCTGCAGTAAACTCTTCCTTTACCCTCTTTATTGCATATTTTTTTTTGAATAGTGTGGTTGATATATACATCAAGAAAGCAGAAAGTTTTGTGTTTAGGTAGATTGTATATGAGTTGGCTATTAAATATTAGGGGGTCTGTATCATTGAAATTATTGTGGAATAAAACCGATTTTGTTGGATTAACCATAATTTGGGCAAATGAATAAAAGGATGATGCAGTAGCCAAGATATTTGTCATTGCTTCACGATCTGGTGCGACCCATGTGGTGTCATCTATGTAGGCTATCACAGAGATATTAAGATTGATTGGTGGGTGAGAAGAGGCTACTGATATTGTGTAATTGGGGTGTTCGCTGGTAATTCTGTTTATAAGTGGATTGTAGAAAATTCGCCAGAGAATAGGTGAGATCATTTCGCCCTAGTCAATGCCATCGCTGACGTTGTAGGTTGGTGTTTTGCCGAGGGTTATGATGACTTGGTTCTGACGGTTGGCTAGTATATTTGCAATGAGTGTGATGAATGTTTTTGGGAGTTTGATTCGTCGCATTGCTAGTTGGAGAAGTTGTGTATTAACTGAATCATACGCTTTGGACATATCTTGCAATAGGATCCAAAGCTCTTTATTAAGTAAGTAAGAGTCTTCTGTAATGTGGGTTATCAATTGAATAGGGTTGAATGTTGAGGTATATGGAAGAGCAACATTGTTAGCCGGGTCTAATACTTGGGTTTGTAGTAGGCTGTGGTGCAGTCGATTGATAAGTATTTTGGTAAGAATCTTGCATGGGTGTTCAATTAAGGTGATAGAGCGAGTTCTACTCAGATCTATGGATAAGTAGCCTGTCTTTGGTATGAGCCATACCACACCCTTGTGCCATTGAGATGAGATTGTTTTTAGAGTAATGCAGGCATTAATAATTTTTGTTAAATGTGTAATTGCTGCTATAGGTAGTTTGTCTAATATTTCATTAGAGATAAGGGTGGGGCTGGTAGCTTTGTTAATAGGTGCAAGTTTTATGGTTGAAATGACTGTGTTCTCAAAGACTGGTAATATTAGTTTATCATATAGATTGCTGGGTAAGTCCTTTTTTGGTTTGTAGTATCTCTGCCATTCTTGCCATAGTATTGTATTGGGTGGGTTGTATTTGGTCCAGGTTTCGAAATGTTTTTTTGTTTCCATTAGTATTTCTTCGGGTTTGGTGATTGTTTGTGTAAGTGTTGTGATATTGTGGTAGATGATAAGTGTTTGAATCAGTGTAATATGATGTCTATCATTGCAGTAGTATTCTCTGCAAAACTTGTATATCGATTTTTGATAAGAGATAAAATCCTTTCTGTTTGTGCCTTGTTTTTCTTGTTTTGCCATGTGTTGTATGCTACTTTGTAGATCTCTTTAAGTCTAAGCATCATGGTTTGGAAGTTACCTGTTTCAAAATCTTCTATATTGAGTTGTATTTGCTCCTGCTCAAGTGATTTGCATGCTTGTTTTAAATTGGTGTTGGTTAAATAAACTATGTGGTTGTAAGAGAGAGGTGTGGGTTGCTTAAGAGTATTGATTATATTATTTATTCTTCTTAAGCTTTTGTGTTTGATAGTGGTATCAAACGAGTGAGGTTGGTTATAGACATTGCATTTTGTGGAGTTGGTTATATATTTAATCTTATAATATTGCTAAAGTTATTCCAGCTTCTATTCAGTGCTTTCTCGTTTATGATTGGTGTGGCGATATAGGATGAGTTAGTAAGATGGTAGGTAATATATTTTGCAAAATCGTCCCAGCTGTTAGTATCCATTGTCTTGTAGTCAAAAACCTGTTTATATTGTTTTTTTACTCTGTATTGTAGTGGTTTGGGTCTCAGCCATGAAGTGAATAATGATTTATAGTCGCTGTGAGTAGTTGTAGCTTGGTCTTGTAGAATGATATTACTAAATATAGCTGCAATTTGGGGATATCATCAATTTGGCTAGATAAGGGTTCTCTTGCCCAAGTGGGACTAGTATTGCTCTGAAGTTGTATGAGACTGATGAGGCCCAAGTTTGACATCTCTTGTAAAATAGAACATTGTTTCTAAAAGTGATTACAGTTAGTGTTGTTGTTAAAATCACCTGTCACGATTATGTTATAGTTCAGTTGGAGGCTTTGGGTTATCCATGTCAAAACTTTGATTTGTGTCGCTTTAGATTGTGCAGTGATTTGAGATGGTAAATATATCACTATAAGCCGTGTCTTATTGTTTGGTAAAAATAGATTGATTATTAGAGCAAATCCTGAGTTGGCTTGTATTGTATAGATGTAGGGTTGTAAATAGAGTTTGAGCCCAATTGCAACACCTCTAGATGATTCTCTAATTGTTGCGTTGTCTGAGTTGCAGTTTGAGGTATATATTTTGTAAAGTGGGTTCAACAGGTGAAATCTTGCTGATGTTGCTGTCAGTTTGGTTTCTGTCATTACTATTATATCTATGTCTTGGCTGTGGCACTCTTCTAGCTATAATTGTAGCTTGGTTGATTGATTAAGACCTTGAATGTTATGGTTAACTATTTTTAGTCCTGCTAGTAAGGGAGTAAGATTAGTAGATGGGTTGGGAATGATGTTGTTTTGGGATTGTGTAGATATAGTAAAAGAGTGAGTGGGTGCATCATAAAGATGTATATCTTTGTATGATAATTGATTATATAGATTGGTAAATTCATTTATCAGGAACATAGTTGTTAAAAAATTCCCATTTAGGTGCTGAGAGTTCAGGAATATTAATGACGTGGGGTGAAATTTCTCTGAAAATGAAGTGTATATGTAAGAAGGCGATTGTGGTTTTAATTTCATGTTGTGTAGTAGCTGGGAGTTAGATATTTTCAGGTAGGGTTATGTGGTCAGTAATTGCTTTAATCTCCTCTATGGTGTGTGGCAAAGAGAGTCGGTTTGTTTCTGTTGAGGTTTTATTTTGGATTTGAATTCAGTTCGCTAGGATTTGTTTAAAGAAATAGTGTTCTCTTAGTAAGCAGACAGTTTCTACAAGAACTCTTGGGCTTGTTATTGGTATAGTCAGATTGACTAATTTCACCTTGTCTGCATTCTGAAGAAGTTCCGGTTTGTCTGTAGGGTTGACTATCATGTAAGCCTCAGGAAGTGGCAAGTTAAACTGGTATTTGTTTTGTATCGCTACTATGAATTCTTTTGCCAAGGTTACATCATTGATAGAGAATGAGAATTTTTCCCTGTGTCGATTTGTGATGGGTTTGTTGGGAGAGATAACTTTTGTATAAAGAAGTTTGATGGGATGCGTTTGAAGCTATAGTGTTGACGTAAGATTTCAACTATGCATTGAAAATCAGTTGAATCAATGGGATTACATGGAAATAGATAACAAGTGGCTGAGTTGAGATTTTGAGATGTGCTAGATAAACGAGGTTTTAACGATGGTAAGTTAAAGTAGGCTGGTGGAATTTCTTTGCCAACTATATAGTATTTGGTTAGTTTCTGACGAAATTGTGAGAGGTAAGGAAGTTTTGATTTTTCAGTGATGGGAAAAAGATCTCTGGTTTCGTTGTTAAGTTTTGAGGGGTGATCAGAGAGAGAGAGTAGTTGAGTTTCGAAGTAGCTATCATGGAGTTTATCAAAGGTGTATATCTTTCTGAGTGCTAGTATCGCTGCACAGGTGTCGCTTCGGTCTTTAATAAGTAGGGTAAAAGGTAAAATTGCTGTGATGTTTTCTGTGATATCTCTAGAAGAAGACGGTAATGGTTTCAAAATCGTTATATGAGCAGCATTGAGGGTGGCTCTAATCTTTTCGAATTTGAATTGTGTAGGTATTTTGGCAAAGTTAAGAAGGTAAGTGATGTATCTTGTGACGTCATGTAGGTTCTTTAGCATAAAGTCCAAGTTGCATAGGAAGTCGAGAGCAAGTTTAGCTTTAAGCCTCTGAAATAGTTGGTCACAGTTTGTTTTGTTTATATACTGGACTTCATGGTATCGTTTGTATCTTTCTGTTACAATGTGTAGAAGGGTTTCAAATTCGTTTTGATGTTGTGGCTAGGTGGTGGTATTCTGGGTAAATGACTTAAAGAATGTGGTGTCTATGTGAATAAACTTTTCTTGTATTGCTAAGGGTATGTTATGGGTTGTAGAAACCGTAGTAATTTTGTATACAAAAAATTCCTGAAGTTGTGTAATATCATTAAAGGTGGCAATAATGTTATCGTTATGCCACTTTGTGTGGTCAAATTTATTAGTTCATTGTAAGGCTAAATCTGTGAGGATTGTAGTGCACCATGCTAGGTCCCTATGACCTGCAAACTTCCGTTTTGGCTTAGGTTGGTTATTGTCTGCTAGGGCTCGTGCATAGAATTTAGGAGGTGAGGATTTGATTGTAGTATTAGATTGTGTGTCCATAGATTGATTATGTAAGGCTTTATAGGTATGATCAGATAGTTGGGCAATATTATCTATAGTAAGTAGATTAGATTTGGTCATTATTATATCATTGGTTTGTGGAGTTATAGGTGGACCCAAGTGGTCCTGGGTTTGTAGATCTGTTGTTGTATTAACTTGGATCAGATCGGGTTTGTTGTTTGTTTTGGTGATCGGTGTGGGAAGATCAGCAGTTTTTCCCATAGTAATTAGGGCAGGGTCCTCTGCCCGGTCTGGTTGTTGTTGTCAAGAGTTACAGTGTTTTGCCCACTTTTTTGTAATTGTAGTGAAGAAGCGGTAGTGGAGAAAGTTGCAAGTGAATAATCCATTTGGATATCATCTTTGTCATTTGTGTTTTTCTTGTATTTTTTTGCTGGAGGTGGGTTAGTGGTTGTTTGGTTGCAAGTAGGTGATAAATTGGGTGAATTAGTTTGGGGCTTCATAATAGTAAAGGCAAGGTGGCCATTGTGGGTGAAGAAGGGCTCAAAGGTCTGAGAGGTAGCAAAGGAACAATCCCTAGGCCTCTTAATTGTGCTTTATATTGGCTTGCTAGCTGTTGTTTGTTTAGCTGTTGTCCTGAGAGACCTAGTTTTTGCTTCTTTAGTTATAGTCTGTTACAAATTTTGTGTGTTGCTTTGTTTACTTTTACTACTACAATTGATTTTTAGAGGTGAACCGGAAAGAGTTTTTTTTTTAAATTTTAATTTATTATTATTATTATTATTTATGTTTAAACAACCTGCCTTTATTCATGTAAGCTGTTATATAATTTATATACAAATGTACTAAATTTTTACAACTTGAAGCTCTAACTTAATAAAAACTTACTAGATTAAAAACCCAATATGACCTGCTATAACAACTATTAGTCTCACTTGGAAGCCAAAACTTACTTCAGATTTTGATCATTGAAATAATATCCCTCTTAATCATTGACAGGCTATTGTATACTATATCAGAATCTCTTTTTTTCTTTCTAATTCTTTCTTTTTTTCAAGAGCATGAGACAAAGAGAAAAATATTTAAAAAAAATATACAAAAATGACCAGAAAAAGAAAAAAAAAAAAAAAAAAAGAAATACTGATTGCAAAAAAAAAAAAATATGAAAAGAAATCTAAAATCCTAAAGACACTATTATAACCTATACATGCTAATAAAAATTATAACAAATGCAATATTTGTATATCTCTACTGTAAAGCTTCGCTTTAATGTTAAATTTACTTTCTGACCTTTCTATCAACTCCAGATAGCTTTGTTGCCTGAAAGTTCTCAGGCTGAGTTCTATGAAGTAGCACCATATTTGTTTGTAAACAAATATGTAGTTGTATTTCGCTAATCTGTTTGGATTTAAGAAGTAAACAATGCTAATCTTTTGCACAAACATTCTTACTTTGTACTCTTTTTTTTTAATGCTAGTAATCAGTGTTCCGAATTAAGCTAGCTTAATTAGGCTTATCAGAATTTAGGGTTGGCTCGATTTTGGCTTAAAAGACTTGCAAGCTAGTAGTACAAATTATGTAATACAAGTAATACAATCTCCATTGTTTGCAGATTACATCTACAATACTTTTTTTCAATCTTCGCTATTAATTAAGCTACAGATTACATATACCAATACTTTCTTCTATCATATCAAGCTGATTTTTTTTATTCAAGATTCGCATAAATATATTCAAATTATTATTATTATTTTTTTTTTATCATGCATAAGTTTTAATGGTGAGTATAGTCAAAAGTTCTAAAAATTAAAAATATTAAATATTATTTATATGTATATATATATATTTTTTCAGAGTGTATTGGTTTTAGTATAAGTAAAATGAGTATTATTAGTTGAAAGTTTAGAGCTTCAAGAAGTTTGAGTCTTATTTATATATATATTTTTTCTCGCATATTAGTTTGTAGAAGTTTAAAGATATTATAGTCTAACTGCTCTTAGTCATACTATTTTTTTGTAAGTTTTTTTTAATTTTTTTTTATATGATTTGAAATGTGTGTTATGTGCTCTACCCCACACATAACTGTCGCGACTAACTAATACTTAGGAGTCACATCCATGGTATCTATTATTTAATAATTATTAGTTGAAATTTAGAAGATTATAAATAGTTGAGTCTTGTTTATATGTATATATATATATATTTTCAGAGTGTATTAGTTTAGAGCTTCAAGAAGTTTGAGTCTTATTTATATATTTTTTTTCATGTATTAGTTTGTAAAAGTTTAATAATATTATGTTCGAACTGCTTTTAGTCATACTATTTTTTTGTAAGTTTTTTTTAATTTTTTTTATATGATTCAAAATGTGTGTTATGTGCCCCACTCCTGCACACAACTGTCATGACCAACCATTACTTAGGAGTCATGTTCATAGTATCTATTATTTAATGATTATTAGTTGAAATTTAGAAGATTATGAATAGTTGAGTCTTGCTTATATATATATATAT